GGAGAGGGACCTTCCTTTTTATACCATTGTCTAGGGGCCTGTTTTAGGTCATAGAGGGATTTCTTTAACAAACGTACCTTTTCCACAGTTGATTTTACCTCATAACCTTTTGGTTGACTCATATAAATAGTCTCCTCAAGGTCTCCATTTAAGAAGGTTATTTTTACATCCAACTGATCAAGCTCCCAGTTAAAATGAGCAGTTAAGGCAAGAAGAATTCTTATAGAAGTGTATTTAGCAGCAAGAGAAAAGATTTCATTATAATCTATTCCTTCCTTTTGAGTGAACCCTTTTACAACAAGTCTTGCTTTGTATCTTTTATTTTCAGTAGTAGGATCTCCTTCTTTTATCTTAAAAATCCACTTACAGTCAACAACTTTTTGATTTTTAGGTTTGTTGACAAGGATCCAAGTCTTATTTTTGATTAAGGAGTTCATTTCTTCATTCATAGCATCTTTCCATAACTTGGAATCAGTACAGGTTACAGCTTCTTCAAAGATAGCAGGTTCTGAATTTAGAGAATTTAGGACAGAAAATAAGGTAACAAATTCATCATTATTATATCTGGTGGATGGAATCCAATTTCTTCTGTCTCTATCTCTTGTTAGCTGGTAATCAATGAGAGAAGGATTATTAGATTCAGTCTCAGATTCAGGTTCACTCGTATCCTAACTAACATCAGACTGGGAAGTCTCCACCTCAATAAAATCATTTCGATCATTAGGATTATTTTCTGAATTTTTAAGAACCGTTTCTTTCATAGGTATAGATCCAGTAGATTCAGTTTCAGATTGTATTTTGCAGGGAAACTCATTCTCATTGAAAATAACATTTCTACTAATGATCACTTTAAAACCATTTTAACTCTTAAGCCAAAGCCTGTACCCTTTAGTTTCTTCCCCGTATCCCAAAAAAACACATTTTTGAGATCTTGGTTCAAATTTACCTTCATTTTGATGAGAGTATGCAGCACAACCAAAAAATTTTCTACTATAATCCGGTAAAGTACTTGACGACAGTGTTTCGGGATTTGGAAGTCAATGGCAATAGAAGGACTTTGATTTACCAAAAAGGTTGCAATTTTTAGAGCTTCTCCCCAAAAGAATTTTGGAAGCCCTGAACTGTGTAACATGCATCTGACCTTTTCTAAAAGGGTTATATTCATTCTTTCAGCTATCCCATTCTGCTGAGGGGTGTATGTCACAGGTCTATGCCTTAATATTCCAGATTCTTTACAAAAGGAATCAAATTCCAAATTGCAAAACTCAAGGCCATTGTCAATCCTTAGTGCCTTGATCTTCTTATCAGTTTGATTTTCAATCATAGTTTTCCATTGTTTAAAATTTTGGAAGGTATCAGATTTTTGGTTTAATAAAAAAGTCCATACTTTTCTAGAAAAATCATCCACTATGAGTAGATAAAATCTAAATCCACTAAGGGTATTAGTGGATGCTAGACCCCACAGGTCAGCTTGAAGATAGTCCAAAATAGAGGTGGATTTATGAGTTCCAGATTTAAAAGGTAATTTACTCTGTTTACGAATTACACAGTCTTCACAAAAGCTAAGTTTTTCAAAGTTATTTTTTCCTAAAAATCCTAGTTTGTTTAAAATAGTTAATCCCTTATCAGACATGTGGCCAAGTCTCCTGTGCCAGATTAAAGACTTATCACATTGTGAATCAATAGCTGCAGAGTTGTAAGCTACCAGAGGTTCAGCTCGCAGAGTGTAGATACCATTGATCTTAGGAGCAGAGACAACTTCTCTGTCATCAGATATCAGCTTGATAGAGCTTTTATGGATTCTTATGTCATAGTTTTATCTAACTCCCCCAGAGCAATTAAATTTCTTTTTAGTTCAGGTACATACCTCACTTTTTCTAGTTTGAGTACAAAATTATTTTCCATTAGGAGATCCATCTTTTCCATCCCTTTTATCTGACAACTCATGTCATTGCCCATCTACAGTTGCCCCTCATTCAGATCAACAAAATCAGAAAACCAATCTTTAATGGGGCACATGTGAAAAGTGCACCCAGAATCTAAAACCCACTCATTTGGGTTCCTATTGATAGTATTAACAAGGACAACCCCTTGTATATATGGTTCTCCTTTGCAGACAACAGCTGCAGAGCCATTAAAATTCTATTTTTCTTTTGTATTAGATAATTTCTTAAAATAGTCTTTGATCGGGTGTCCTGTTTTACCACAATAGTAGCATTTTCTAATTTGATTTTTGGATTTTACTTGGTTTCTGTTTTTGTCTCTGAATTTTGAATTTTGGGGTTTACCTTTTTATGGGAGTTGAAATTACACATAGCCTTCTTCTTATTTTGATTCTGTTTTTCTTTTATGTGTAAGCCTTCACCATATCTAGAATCCTTTGATTCAACTCTCAATTCAAGTTCCCTATTTTTTAGGGAAGAGATTATTATGTCAACTGTAAGATCTTGCCCCCCATATTCAAGGCATTTCTTATCTCCCTATATCTGTCACTTAAAGAGTTTAGAAGGCCTACAACTTGTTGATCTTCAGAGAGATTTTCATCATAATTTTCTAGATCCTGAACTAGTTTAACATATTTATTAATGTTTTCTTCTAGCCCTAAGGATGTATCAAATCTAAAATTGTAAAACTGCCTTAGAAGATAGCATTTATTTGGAATAGATTTAGTTAAGTAAAGGGATTCCAGCTTATCCCACAAGGCTTGTGCAGAGGTAGTTTCACCAACTTTTTTAATTACACTATCAGACAGATGAAGGAAAATAGAACTCCAGACAATATCATCTAATTCTTGTCTCCTATATGCACTAGTTTCAGTAGGATAAGTGTTATCAATAGCATGTGCACATCTCTTTGTAACAACAGAGCCCTCAATTTTTGTCTCCATAAACTAAAGTCACCATTTCCATTCCATACATTAATCTCAATTCTGTGTGCAATGGACATGATGATAAATGTAGTGACAGAATCACAGATATTGTAATTAAACGTGCAATTTTCAATTCTTGAAAAGGTTTAAGGGGTGGTTACCCTTTGTTCCAATACTCTCTCAAATTCCCAGGTCCTCAAATAAGACATTGGACAAAGGAAAGCACTGGAGGGTGACTTACCTTAATAACCAGTTTCAAAGATTGACACAAGTAATCAATAATAATAAGAAGGGGGTTCAGAGTATACCGTAGACAATGCAAGAATTTTGTATAAGCACAGACAGCTCACTATTGATAGTGACTCAGTGGGAACTCAGTAAGAATCGGAACGAGTTGACTCAGCTCACCAAGGGCTCGGAGTGAGTCAAGAATATCGCCGTGACTAGGTAGTGAGTTTAAAAATTTAACTCACCACAGAACTCAGCACAAACAGCAAATTACACAAAGTTAAAAACGAGTCAGAAAAAAAAACAAGAACTCGATGAATATCAAAAGATCTTACAGATCAACCCAACAGAGTATTCAAGATTTCAAGGAATACAATTTTTTTACCATCAAATTTTCAGAGAAATATAATTTTTTACAAAAAACTTCAAATCTCAAAGATTTACAAATAAAAGCAGTATAAACAAAACTTAGGGTTTTGTAAAAAAAAAAATGTATCCAGATCCTCCAGAGAAGATGCTCTGATACCACTTGTAAGTCTCAAGAGGTTAAACGAATACAGATTATCGTAAGATTCACAGAAAAATTAAAATTGCAGAAAAATATAAATTGAACGCGAAGGATTTTTTCGCTACAAAGGCCCGGATGTTCAGCCTTATGACCTACTCATCACGTTGAGCATCTACTAAGTAGATTTAGCCTAGATCCACTAGAAAATTAACCAAGAATGTTACAAATGTACGAAGAAACACAAAATTTTTTCACTGTTTTGATCTTGCCTCACAAACAACTACACAACACTACCACAAACTCGCATGAAGCAGTATCACAGATTATACATCAAGTGTAGCATCAAAATCACTCAGATTTACAGAAGAGATTTTCATTCAGAAAATATCGATGATGTGAGAGAAAAGAGAAACCCTAGAATACACACTCATAATAGATCTCTCTCGAAGAAATAAGGCGTCCAAACGTTTTTAATCAGGTAAGTCAATTGTCATTGATCAACGGTGAGGAAATGGCCAGATCATATCTTCAAGAAGGGTAGAAATTGCATTACAATAAACCCGGCCCAATAGCTTCAAAAGGGGCCAAGAATGTGAGGCACATTTATTTGGGCTCAACAGCCAATATACATAAGTTAAAATTAGCTAATTCGATTGTTAATAATATGAAAAAAGGTTGAAAGATGTTGGATTAGATGAATGTTAAATTATCAAAGTGAAATCGAAATTCCTAACTTAATCTCATAAATCTTCGCAAAGTCTTAAGCTTTGAAAGATTTTAGATAAATTTAGTATAACTTTAGTTTTAGTACAAATTATTGTATTGTTAAATTGGTTACGAGTTCAGACTGAAGCAAGATTTAAAATAAAAATTGATAGTAAGTAATTAGTCTCTGGACGATGTACAATTGCAAAATAGGTGAACAAGTTCAACAAGCTACATTGTGATAACCAAGCTGCACTACACATTGTCGTAACCTAATTTTCTATAAACACACAAAGCATATTCATTTAAACTGTCATATGGTGAGAGAAAATATTCATTCCGGACAAATTGCTACATCTTTTTACTTCATCTCATCTACAAATTGCTGACATATTTTCAAAATCCATTGGCAAAGTAATGTTATATTAACATCTAAGCGAGTTCGGCATTCTGGACATCCATGCTCCAACTTGAGTGTGTTAAAATTCACACAGTTCATTTGGAAATATTCCACCGGTCATCCTTTTTTATTTTTAGGGAGACACATTGATTTTGTATATTCCTTTTTATTTTATACATTGTCTATGTACAAGAACCCATTTACAGAATTTTAATTAATGAAAACAAATTTCATTCCACTGTTCTTCCTTTCCTTTTCTGTCCATCCACATGCACATCAGTCATCATATATACACAATAAATATGTATAATTTTCTTGATGAACTTCATAATATGTTGACTATTTTACACTGTACAAGGTATAGCTCTATATTGCATGGGAATAGATTTATCTATAGGGAAGAAAGAAAGATCAATGAAAACTCAACTCGGTACACTTCGTCTAACTTTAATAAAGTAAATAAGAACGAATTAAACGGTACAAAAGAAAAAAAAATATTTTTTTTTTCAATTGTACAATCTAATTATGTATAGTAGTAAGTACCAAACATATCATTCACGTGGACTTCAACTTATCCAATCCATACGTTCTCTGCACGATAAGGGCAAAGTAAGAAAAGTGGAGAGAGAAAGTTAGCACATAATATCAAACATAATAGTAATTCGGATAAAAAAAAAAGGGAAAATAGTTCATTGAACTCATTTTTCATTTTCCAGTGAAATAACTTTATTAGTTCATATTAACTCATTATACACATTTGTTTCAATCAAGTTACTCAATATTTCCATTAGTCAAGCTAACAACTTGGCCACTTGTTTGGTTTTGGTAAAAAAAAAAAAAAAAAAATCAAAATTTTAGTAAATTTTGATAAAAGTTAATGAAATATGTAATTAAAAAATTGTAGGTCCCGTGAAATGTATAGTTAAAATGAGTTTTGGAGAAAAATAAATTTAAAGAATTAGGGGCTTGGTCAAAGTAATTTAACTAAACCAAGATTATAAATTAAGTGATTCAATTTCGACAAAATAAAGTTCAAAAGGAAAGATGAATGTAGTGGCTCACCATAGTTTCATAGTTTCGTTCCAACTGGGGTACAAGTAACGAAATTAGGATTTGCATCTCTTTTTTAAGCATATCATTGTCTGCATCTTTGGCCTTGAGAATATCTATCAAACTTTTGGTGTCGGGCACTAGTTTGAGAGCAACCTATAAAAAGAAAATGCATATAAATACAACAAAAAAATCTTTAGTCGGTAAAGAACGAATAGGTGCAAACATACAATATGTATGAAACACGTTACGAAGTGCATATTTTGAAGTAATTTACTTTAATCAAGCAATACAAGACGTGATGATATTATTTTAGTGAAGCGAAATTAATCGTTCGCAGGTTTGATGGTTCTCTACATGTAAATCGAGAAGCCACAATACCCCCCCCCCCCCCCCCCCCCCCCCCCCCCCCCCCCCCCCCCCCCCGCCAACCCCCCCCCCCCCCCCCCAAATAATAAAAAAATAAACTACTTTAAAAAATGTAACGTTACTTTATAAGCTGCAGAAGAAATCCATCCATGCCATGGCTTAAGAGTGTTATTATATGACTTTTCCACTGCTTGTTCCATGTCCCTCTCAAAATCCTCAACAAGTAATTTTAACAAAGTTACTGAAAAATCCAGTGATCTGCAAATAACATTTGAAATATAGAAATGCATTTTAGTGACAAAATCAATAAGTTACCTTAAATATCAATTTTTTATTTGAAAAAAAATAAATAAAAGCTTTGCAAATAATAAATTATGTGGCCATTGAAATTAACCCTAAATTAAATAATGTCTTCCCTAATACATGCACAAAGAAATTGAACTTTACTATTTATATATTGATTTTTGACACTTTGGTTGACACTGTCATTGTTGTCAAGTGTCAATTGAATGAAAAAATTGTTTGAAATTCAAACTATCCAATAGAATAATGACATGTGACAAAGTGTAAACTAACGTATACACCATAGTGTACATATAACAAGGTTAAAAGAATTTTTACCTGGTAAGCCAAACAAAGGCTTTACTGCACGTGGGACCCTTCTTGGCCTTTCCTTCACTGACCTCTTTCTTCAATATTTCAACCACATCCCAATATCTCAATGGATCAGAATCATGGACCGTCTCCAATCTCTAGACATTGATTGAAGATATAAATAAGTACAAGATTGGTTTTATTAACAAATTATAACTTGGTTAAATTAAAAGTACAAGAATAGGTTAATGGACGGAAATGTTTTTTATTGAACAATATTTATTTATTTGGCGTTATTTGATCATGTAGATTCTGGTTGACCACAAACTGTATTTAAGGAGCGATCTATTATGTTTTTATTTTTATTTTTTTACAATTAACATTATCGATCATGTCACATTAGTATTTGGAGGAGCCAAGTGAATCTCGCCATTGATTTCCATTTACAAAATCGCGTTCAGTGATTAACAAAGTAAACAATTATTGGATGAAAATTTAAAAACATCCTAATAATTTAAAAATGACAGAAATAGGAGGGTATAAGAGTAATGCTCCTCTACTAAAAGGTCTGGTAGAGACTTCCTCTCCCATTTTCTCTCACCTCGACGGCATCATGATTAAAAAAATACCCTCAAAAACCCACCCTCACCCCAAATTGTGAGAGGGACTGCACTACCAAGCCTCTTCCACGTCTGATAGTGTAGCATGGTCCACGGTATAAAGGACTAGATGGACATAAAGCTTTATGGTGAATTATTGCATCGGATAAAAGTCAAAGTGAAAGCTTGGCTCTTGCCTCTTTCTTAGCCGTCAATGATTTAATTACGATGCAGACTTGCGATGCATGAGGGACCAATGCGTGTGTTTTGCACATTCATGAACTGAAAATGACAAGAATTTAGCATAATCCATGAATTTAATTTGGAAGTTACCAAAGCATAATTTCAAAGTAACCATAAAAATAAGTATTTAACTTATTATTTAAATAAGTAACTTTAAAATGTTATCCAGTATAATCGAGTGGGACATGCCAAACAAACCATTTGGACTTTAGTTGGTAATTTACCTGGATATTCTGATGAATGTCTTGCCTCAGGACAGCCATTGTTGGCCCTATCTTATCTGCACATAGTACAGTTGAAGTATCCAATGTTTTATTAAAAAAAAAATGTTTACAGGAATTAATCATTCAAAATAAACACACAAATCATTAATCAAATATATATAAATAGAGATAGAGATGAACCAAGAACTTGAATCAGAAGGTTGCACAGAGAGAGAAATGGTTTGATGGGAATTTGCAGTGTCGTTTGAAGATCATCTCCACATCTCTCCGCCGCAGGTTTAACGCCTTCTGTCTCCGCTGCAGGTTTAACGCTGTCTCTCTCCGCCGTAGGTTTAACGACGTCTCTCTCCGAAGCAGCCGACAGCTCTTGAATGGCTGACCTTATCTCTGATGATATCTCCGCCTCCCTCCGCCGCTTCATTTCAACACCCTTTTACTTCTTCCTCTTCCTTAATTCTCTCTCTGTGTCCCACACTATATATAGAACTCTATGCTTTGGTATTCCAATTTTTTTAGAAAATTATTGTGTTGACTAGAAAGATGCTGATGTGAGAAATGGCATCAGATAGATTTCTATCAACTGGCCTAAGGAAAACTTCTTAAGTGTGAACTCTATAAGATTCACTTTTAATTGTAATTTTTAATACAAATTCAATATTCATCTTAGGTTAGACATGTGATTGTGACCTCTTAAATTTTGACGTTGAAATTATCATTTACACTTCTGCAATATAAAATTAAACAAGATAATACAAGTTGCAGGTTAATTATAAATAAGGTTGAACTATCCAATTTCAGAATAAATCAAGAAACACTGGAGATTTTTGGCAACATCACACTTGGCACAAGACCGACATATAAGGGGACTTCTCAACTTGTCTTGATTGAAGGTTTGACCTATTTCTTAGTAGAAGGAAACAAAACATTACATTCATTATCTCGTCCAAATCGATGAGTGGTTCTATTTGAAGCGTTCTTTTCATAAAAAGTATTTAATAAATTCGAAAAAAATTAAAATAGGCAGCCGAAAGGCCTTGAGCAAAAAAATTGTGGGACCTTTTAAATAATAATAATAATAACTGAAAATTTTCATCATGATAAAAAAAATTAATGGGAGCAAATAATCACTAAAAAATCTATCAATGATTTTTTGACAATATTATTATAAGTATTCTGACATAAATTAATATTTTTTAATAATTTCGGACAGAATTATTGACACCAATATTGTTGACTATCACTGATGCACATCCATTCACAATTATGGATGACAATATCGTCTTCAATAGAGTAGTAGTTATGCCATATTTAACTCTGCAGCAAAATTTGAGGTAAGTTTTACACCATTTTGCATCAAATCTTATACCAAACTAAAAATAATCTTCAACCATTACACCAAAAAATTGCACCAAATAAATACTGCTCAATCGTTTTCTTCATTTTTTATTCTTTACAATTTATATATCTGAAAAATTATTTATTCATTTAATTTACTACTACATAATTAATTGTGTTTCGTTTATGAAAATCAAATTTCAAAAATGTAGTACAATTAATAATAATGCCACAACTAAGAAACTATTAAATCACAAAAATAAAAATAAAATGATGATTAAATCATTGTAATAAAAAATTATTAAAGTTGATTACAAAAAATAATAATAATAATAATAACAACAACAGTACTAAAAAATAATAGTAATAATTATAATAATTATTAATTAAGAATTAAAATTTAGGTATAATATAAAATGACACAAATATCCTTAACAACATTTGGTACTAAATGAAAAAAAGGGCGAAAAAGACTTTAATCAAATATGGTGCAACATTATTCGCTCACATCATTTTGCACCAAAATGGGGTGTAAAATGGTGCAAAATTTGGTTTTGGATTGGAGTAACGTTGCACCAAATATTTGTTGCAAAATAGGAAATAATGGTGTTTTTAGTTCTAGGATTTGGAGTTGTTCTTAGTGTCACCAATAAAAGTTTTAACATTTATATCATCAATTATCACCTACACACTGTTATGAAGGATTATCGATGATAATGTCGTTAATAATGTTCCTGACAATAATTGTCACAATGAAAGTTTAAAGTTTCTTTATTCGTTTTTCAAAAAAGTTACTAAAGGAATATTACAAAAGTAACTTAAGATATCTTTTCCTTTTTTATTATATCAATACCACATAAATTTTTGGTTCTTGTCAAATACAGGACCTTGGGTGACCATTTAATTGACCCTAGCCGCCTCTAAGAACAGAATGAGAAGCTACGTATAAAGTAAAAGTCCCGTATACAAATTTGTCGAGTGGCGATAAAAATAACTTACCTTTCATCTTTTAATATCATCCAAATAAATTAGACGAGAAAACGCTTTTAAGACATCATTCCAAGGAAATTAACGGTACATTTTCAGGCTGTTTTCAATTTTTGGTTCTACAAAACATTGACAACATGTTTCGTCCAATATTTCTGAAAATACGTTTTCAAAAATAAAATTAAATTTATAACAGAAAACTCAAATTGTATTTTTGACGTTATAAGTATTTTCAGTGAAAGTTCTGAAAACACTCAAAACATGGAAAACAAGTATTTGAATAATTTTTAAAAAATATAAATGTAAATTCTAAATAATAAAATTTAAAAATTTAAAAAAATAATTTCTAAAATTCTAAAAAATAAAAATCTTAAACAGAGAAAATTATAAAATTTACTAGAAAATTAAAAATTATAAATAAAAAAATCCCAGCTTTACATAAAAATTCTAAAAAAATATCTAAATGAACGCATATAAAACTATTTTGAGTCCACGTCATTAAGTTTAAAATATACTAGAAAAATAAAAAATAAAAATAGTCCAAGCTTTGAATAAAAACTCTTAAAAAATAATATATATATAATACTTGATAATATATTAACGTAAAATTGTTCTATTTTTTTTATTGAATAATCAAATTTCATGGAATAAAATGACATAAAATAAGTTCTCAAAATTTCAAACTAAACTTTTTTTTTCTAATTTTCTGTTTTGAGAAATAATTTTCAAAATGAAAAATTAAACACGTTTTTAAAAATTTCAAAACAGACTTTCAAAATAGAAAAATAAAAGTGAACTTAAAACTCAAAGCTGAAAACTAAAATACAAAACAAACGGCCCTTAAAATTATACTCCAATGCGAAAACTCAATCCAGTGCAAATAAGAATTTCGACTGATAATCAGCGGTAGGGTGGAGAGTTCGATTTCTGGTGGGAACCTGTGGCCAAAAATTTGGTATGGAGCAATCACTGTGGATAAGGGTCTCTTGTGCGCAAAAGTGTATAGTCAATGGAGGGAACCTGTGATTCAGTTGAGGCATAACCCGCGATTTACCCCCTCCAAGGTTCTAGGGGCATGGGTCTTGGAGGTCCAGAATTTAGTCTGGTGTAAGTTGGGATACCTGGATATCCAAAAAAAAAAAGAAAGAATTTCGACTGATAAATCTTAAGATTTATAGCCCTAGTGTAGAGTAGCTATAAATAAAAATTTACCAAATGATTCTATAGGAAAGAAAGTCCTATAATTTGGGAAATATCACACATTTGAAGATTTTTTAAACACAAACGGCCTAAGCCCCTTTTTTTAGGCTCATTATTTAAAATTTATTTTTCTCAAACTCATTTTTAACATCACATTTTTTGAATAAAATATTTTTGTATGTAAACTCAAAAATTTTTCTTTTTTTTTTAACACACATTTTTCAATTTTTTTTTTTTTTTTTTACAAAATCTATTCTCAAAATATTATACTCGAACCAGAGCTAAATATCGAGAACATAAACAATAGAATTCATTTTTGGAATTATCTAAATTAAATCCAAACAGAACTTACAAATTGAGAACAACACTAAAGTGAAGATGTCTATATAAAGACCAACAGAAATATAATCCAATAGAGGAGGTGGGAACAAGTAGACAAAAAGTTATAACTTTCGACAACTTTAACTATCTTCATTAGCTCATTAACAACAAAATATTACAAAAATAATAAATTCATTTGTTGTTTCTCTATTTCTCTTGGACGAAGACTTAAGAAATTAAACATGTAATTTA